TGCAGTGGAGTATGAAATTAAAAATTGGGATTAAAAATAAGCATAAGAATAACGAGATACTTTTAACCAGAAATAAAACACATCCACGTGGCTCCCTAGATTAATTTTTGAGCAATAAAAATACCAGTAAAATAAATGTACATACAACTTACTGGTCAATCTTGCTCATCTTGTATTTAGGTACAAAATATGTGAACACAAATGCATAGAAAAAGGATTTGTATCAGGCACTTACCACATTGTCCAAGTTTCGTCGGTGCCAAACCTCCTGGAGTGAAAGATAATAAAACGTATTTTAGGGGCTAAAACTTTAATACATAATTTCATTTGACAGTAATATCTGTGCCTGTGTTTCAAGTACACTCTGAAGATAAAATATTGTCTGTGTCCTCAAGACGGAATGCTTTGTTACCCACAAATCTATCGTAAGTATTTTCTTCCTAGATTTTCGGTAATAGTCATTAAATTGTACCTCATCGACCGGAAATGTGCAATTTTGCAAGCTAATATTTTGATTCAGCTGGTACAGATCAAATTATAAACGATATAATTATCCAATATCTTAGGTCATTAAAAGATGTTAAGAATACATCCTAGTATACCCTTTATGTAGCAGTTGTTAATATTACTGCAAGCTAATGTTTCGATTCAGCTGGTACCGATGAAATTATAAATGGTAACAATCGATTGTATAGTGTATAATCAAACAGATACAAGCCTAAGGGTTCAAAGGCAAAGCGTGCCTACCTCCAAAGACCAAGGTTCAAAGGCAAAGCGTGCCTACCTCCAAAGACCTGCACTTCACAGAGTGTAAGGGTTTTCCCGGAGCCTTTCAGAGCTATGCCCACATATCGGCCGGTCCGTCCGCCACAGTCCACCGTGATGACGCCCTTGCCTCTGACGGACTGCGCTCCGCCACAGGTAGGGTTGGCCAGCAGTTCGGGGTTGTCGCCCACGTAAACCGTGAAGCCTTCCAGCCGTTCCGAGCAGCAGTCTTTCCGGTTGGTGACGACCACCCGATCCACACACTGGCTGGTGCCCAGGTCGACTCGCCACCACGGGTTGGCTTCGTTTGTCGTGTGGGTACAGGACCCGCTGGCCCAGAGGGGGCTACTGTTCCCATCCACAGCGCGACCGGGAGCGCCTTCATATGCAGTACTCGACTGGGTCGCAGGGCGGTTCAGGCCGATGTTCGTGGTGCTTGCAGCTTTCAAATTGGAAAGAAGAAGATGAGAAGATACACAAAAGGAATTCTTGGCTATCTGGACTAATCTTTGAGCAAGAGAAAAACACCACTGAAAAAGTCTACATAAACATGGGATAAAACTCTAGACTAGTGGACAATGCCATGTTCCTGTGCTTTCTAGATCAAGACCGATCTTCCAGATTGTACTTTGATTGGGTACTAGGATACTAGGATTTATTGTAATGTACCAAGAGCATTGAATACAAAACGTTAGAACAGATGACGTTATCCATTTAGCTAATAAAAATATTTGTATCAGGCACTTACCACATTGTCCACGGTTCCCTGTATTGCAAATAGAATAAAACGTATTTAGAGTCTAAAAACTAAATATTTTTTAATCATTTTTGGTGGTATCTGTGACTACCATTCAAAAAGCATACAAGATAAACATCATTTTATTCTGACGAAATACATTACACATGGATTGCACATGAACGCTTTTCTACCTCGGTAAACAGTTTGCCTCGATTTCTATAAATATATTTTAAATGTCTGTTATGAGTTTTGAGTCAGCAATAATTCCAAGTGAAGCCTCAAACTCCAAACTAGACTTCAATATTCGCCCTCCTGTAACATACGGTTAGTAACCATCACCTGCTCCGGAGCCTCCTCCCGTGCCTGCTGCTCCAATGCCGCTCCTCCGGAAGACCTGGTCCCCAGAGTTGACTCCCCAGACCTGGTTACTGGCGGAACTGACGTACACGGCACTCAGGCTTCCTGGAATCTGCTTCCAGCTGCTTCCGGTCGGGTTCCCAGAGGTGATTCCTGGAAGAGACAATGAAGAAAATGTTGAGCAGATAGATAAATTCAAGACGTAAGAATCATAAGAGTATTATACCAATATATTACCATCGCTGTTAGGTTGATCAAAGTTTGTGCTAAACTGTTCTTCCATCACTATGTCATAACCTATCTACCTATCGTCTCCATATCTATCTTATTGTCCATCCCTAGCAAGGTGTTCTGTAGAATCCTCCTCAAAAGGATTGAAAGTGCCCTAGACACCAAGTTGAGAGAAGAACAAACAGGTTGTCGTAAAGGTCGTGGCTGCTCAGAACAGATCTTTGCTCTCAGGAACATCATTGAAAGATCTCCAAAGTCACCCTTAGCTGGAGGCCAGAAGGAAAGAGGAAAAGAGGCAGACCAAAGACCACATGGAGGAGAACGGTGTCGGACGACCTTGCGGCCATGGGACTGTGCTGGAAAAGTGTTAACAACATGGCACAGGACAGACCCAGATGGAGGAAGAAAGTCATGGCCTTATTTTTCACAAGGCACGAAGAGGATAAGTAAGTAAGTACCTATCGTATCCCACTACAAAGTGTCCACTAAGTACCTTGGCGTGCCCAGATCCGGTTGTCCGGACTGACGGCCCAGACCACCCCGATGCCCACCGTCAGCTGCTTCACTGCCTGGCCGGGCACGGCTCTCCAGCTCTGCCCGGCCGAGTCCAGGTTCCCGAAAGTCCCGACGCGATACAGGACGGTGTTGTCGGGCCTGACGCCCCACACTCCCGCCTGGCCCACGGAAACGTACTTCAGAACGCCGTCGATTTGCTTCCAGCCAGTTCCTGGGGGGCAAAATAAATACGTTATATTTACTTTGAAAATCATTGTCGCTGCTTTGCAAACATCAATGAGGAATAGCGATAAACCTGAGAGGATCTTGAGCACTCAGTTTACGCGAAGAAATCTATTCGTTGTGTTTCGTTTACACAAACATGTTGCTCGCTAGAAACCAACAGTTTTAGCGTTCAATAAAGTAGGTGCGTAGTCCAGTGGTTAGCGATCCTGCCTCTGGACTAAGAGGTTGGGAGTTCAAATCCCGGCTGTTGTCACTCACGCTACTGTTTAAGATCGCAGTCCTTAGGACGGGACGTTAAGCCGTCATCCACTGTTCATTGTGTTTGTTGAAAAGAGCTAGGGGAATTTCCTCGGTACAATGAACCTGTAAATACTGTACATAGTGTCTGTCTTCTCTGTCACGACCAGTGGAGGATTAGCTCTTCTATGAGCTAAACTGGTTCGAGATCACTTTTTTTCTCTAAGCCCTACCTGCTAGGCTGCCTGCTGTGATTCCAGTTCGCATCCACACTTGGTTCTGGGAGTTGACTCCCCAGACCTTATTACTTTGGGCGCCACAACTGACCACCTTTAGGGCGCCCCCAATCTGCTGCCAGCCTGTCCCCTTCGGGTTGGAAGAGCTGATTCCTGTGAAGATGCAAGACGTATCGAGGCAGAATGTTGAATAATACCATGGCATATAAATTTAACGTTTTCAATCAAAATGTAACTTCTTGTAGGTTAGAGATCTTTTTGAAGACTTCCGATATTTCAATTGAATTATCGAACATTAAGGTTTGCCCCACCTGTCCTAAACCAGATGCCGTCCCCTGAGTTGACTCCCCAGACGGCTCCATTCCCCACGCTGATCTGCTTCAGGCCTCCCTCCACAGGTTCCCAGCCGGACCCCGTCCCGAGCGCGTTGCCGTAGCTGCCGGTCCGGTACCGGATCTGCCCCGCAGCCGTCACGCCCCACACTCCGGACGCTCCGATGGAGACGAACCGCAGGGAGCCACCCACAGGTGCCCACGCGGTGCCTGGGGACAGGAAACGGGCGGGAAAGGTTTGTTGGGAGCGGGCCAAGAAGCGCCCATACTTAAGACACTGTGCATGGGAGCGGGCCAAGAACCGCCAATACTTAATACACTGTACATGGGAGCGGGCCAAGAACCGCCAATACTTAATACACGGTATATACGGGAGCGGGACAAGAACGCCCATACTTAATACACTGTACATGGGAGCGAGACAAGAACGCCCATACTTATATCCGTTAGATCGTGTCATCCACTCTCTTTCAGTTAAAAATGCTTGTTTTATGATTCAATTGTGTACTCCCCAAGCAGAGGTTGTGGGGGAATGATCGTTAAGTTTTTATATATCTCCGTTTTTTGTCGCTAATCCCTTCTCTGGCTAATGGATACTGCCTGCCCAATTTGATTCTGTCTTTTTGCCACCCAAAGGGATCTGCTTGGGGATTATCAATTGTCGTGCTTTTTATAACCACTAGTAACATTATAACTAACATGTCAGTGATTTGGAGTTTTGTACTGTTCTTGTTAACACATGTATGTGTATTTAAGCTCACATGACGCATGAGAACAAATCATGTTTAGGGTAATGCAAAGCGCAGTTTTGCTACCATCTGGAAACTACAGGTTTTACAGGCGATTCTGCCCTACCTAATCCTCCCTTAACGCCGCCTCCAGAAAATCCTCCTCCTCCTGCAGCAGCACCTGCAACAGAAAGTGTCTTTCATCTCAAAACAGAACCTACACAGAAGTCATGCACTTATTGGAAATCTCAATGAACATTTTAACAAGACCACTTGATTGTCTACAATCTTGCAGAATGACACTTTGTTTCAATAGTGCTAAAATAGATTGCATAGTGTATAACCAAGGATTACAATAGATTGCATAGTGTATAATCACACAGATAGAAGAAGCCTGGGGGTTCAATGGCAAAGCAGACCTACCTCCAAAGACCTGCACTTCACAGAGTGTAAGGGTTTTCCCGGAGCCTTTCAGAGCTATGCCCACATATCGGCCGGTCCGTCCGCCACAGTCCACCGTGATGACGCCCTTGCCTTTGACGGACTGCGCTCCCCCACAGGTAGGGTTGGCCAGCAGTTCGGGGTTGTCGCCCACGTAAACCGTGAAGCCTTCCAGCCGTTCCGAGCAGCAGTCTTTCCGGTTGGTGACGACCACCCGATCCACACACTGGCTGGTGCCCAGGTCGACTCGCCACCACGGGTTGGCTTCGTTTGTGGTGTGGGTACAGGACCCGCCGGTCCAGAGGGGGCTACGGTTCCCATCCACAGCGCGGCCGGGAGCGCCTTCATATGCAGTACTCGACTGGGTCGCAGGGCGGTTCAGGCCGATGTTCGTGGTGCTTCC